ATGGTTTATTGGGAGCAAGAATTTACAAAGTAACATTGGGTATATTTTGTTTCTGAGCTGAAGAGCCGTTTGCAAGTAGTATCATATTGTATTAATCAATATTTGATTGATGTGTTTGAGGTTAATGACAATATTGTCTAAGCTAAAAAATACTTGCCCGATGAATATATTTCTTAAAATAATTAGACAAACCTGCCACCTTTTGGCTATTATTTTTTACCTTCTCTAATTTTCTCTAGTAGAATACTCCCCACTAATTGATATTAAAATTTTTAGTTTTAACTAATGTTCTAAATATGGATGCTTACACCAAATTTTAAAAATAAGTAACTTATTCAGTAAAATTTATTTTTAAAATAAGTAACTTATTTTCAACCGACCGAATCACTCGAGCGTTGGCATCTGTCTTCTTGGTATGTCAATGTTGTCTATGAACGTAACGTTTCCCATTTCAATCTATTTATTGATAATGCCAAACTTCATTTTTGGCAGGGTTTTGGATCCTTGTTCTTGCTACTTTCTTCAGGTATCTATGTTTGATTAGTTTTTGTATTAAACTGGGCATCTGCGTCCCCTGGAGTGACAGAACCCTCTAGCAAAACCCTTTTTTATGTGCACAAACTTGTGACTTCTGAGATTATTATTATTCTTTCTCAAATTAATTCGTTGTTTCGAACTCTCGACAATTCATATAACGTGGATATGAAATACGTGAAAAATGACATCAAATATTTACTTGCAACACCTATTTTAAAGGCATGCTGACATTCTTGAGCTTGAGTTTGCGTGACTCAACCCGTCTAACACCTCTATTCTTATTATGGATATCCAACGCCATTTTCATTAACCTAATTTTTTTTTTCTTAAGATTTAAAAGCAGTGATTGATAGTATCGAACATATTATGTGTGGATTGTTTTAAAGAAAGTCTTTATGGTTGAACAATACATTTATATTAGAAGCATGTGGCTATGTCAACGAGTCGAGTCGAAAAAAAAAGATTGGGCTCAGCTTGAACTTTTTTGGCCGAGCTTTTTTCGGGCCCAAACCGAGCCCGGCCAAAAAAATAAGGTTCGGCCTGAGCCTAAGCTGGCCAAGCCGACTCAATTTTTTTTTTTTTTCAGGCAACTTTAAAAAAAAGTTTATTATTATTTTTAATTAATTACGGGCCGGCCCATGTGGACACGGGTTGGCTCGAGCCGACCCTCCAAAATGGGGCTCGCCCCGATCCGTTCGAGCCGGCAAGTTTTTTTGCCACCACTAGAAGCACGTTTAGTTCGTAATATTGAACAGGATTTAACTTCATTAAGCGTTTGCATAATTTTGCTAAAAGTCGATAAAAGTTGGGGTGTGCTATGAATGTGCGGTGAAAAAGTGGATAAAAGTCACGAATTCAATGAAATGTGCAATTAAAAAAACGTAATATGGAGATATTTTTGTAGTTACCACAACCATAAGTTCTGGTTTGATTGGAAAAACTACTATAGTTGGTGATTAGTTTGATTATAGTACACGAATGCAGTTTTCTGGTACATTCCAAATAGTTGACAGCCACATACCATGTTTTCGCCTGCATCTATCACTCACATTGTAATGCATTGATAGCGACCACAATGGAATCTCTGTGTGAATGTCAAAAGGATTAAACTTTGTACAACTAGTGAGTTGTCAAGATTCGTATCGTTGATTTAAAAAAAAAAAATTAAAATTGATGGATGTGATGTCAACCAAGTGTGAAGTTGTAAAAAAAAGTTGTACAAGTAGCACTACTCATATAAAAACATGAAATATTGCTAATTATTACGCGCCAACTGAGTGCTCGAACATTTTCAACGAGATCTGTATCATGAAATTTAAAAGTCCAATCATTTAATGTCAATTAATCGACACTTAAATTGCTAACTATCAACGATATCTACGTGTCTACATTGCATGATCACCGCCACTGCTGATTAGATTGTAGTATATAGAGATCGTAATGACTCTCATTGTGTTTAACATCATTAATTAATTTAAAGATAAGTTTGTGGGTTTATAACATCTTGTGTATCTTCACTTCATAAGTCAATTTTTCTATTTGAGTTCTACTCAATGTAGTATTAAGAATTTCAGACCCTGTTTGCCCTCATGTTTCGAAACTTATTTTTTTCTCAAATTCATTTTCAACCACCCATTTTATGAGATTTTGGTGTGTGCTAAGTTTTTCTTAAACCAATTTTATAAAGTAAAAATATATTTTAGGCCAATTTTATAAAATAAGGGAAAAAAAAACAAAATCGTCTCAAACTTTAGGACATGTCATAACTATGGTCTGCCCCTGGCCTCATGGATGTTGGTCCTAAAAGGATTGATAGAATGTAACAATTTGAATCGTGAAGCACCTAAAAGCCTCTCTCCTTACGTGTTGAATTTAAAGATGAGTTGTACCCGACGTCATCTCTAGAGAGTGACATTTTTCACATAGGAAAAAGGTGTCATGAATCACAAAGGCCAGAATAATACTATCTAGCGTAAGAGAATCACATTTGATATATTCAAGTAAATGAATCACGTGACTTTGAATTTAAGTGATCTATCATTTAATGACGTGCATTTGTCATCTAAACTGGTGTTTGACACTGAATAACATTACTCAAATGCCTTGGCCACTCAGATTATGAAGAATAATGTGAAAGCAATTTGGCTTTGGACAGACATTATAAATCTGGCAGTGAAACCGCTGTTATTTTCTGTGTGTGTCTCCAACCATAACATGTACAGAAGTGACCCCAAAGCAGCATACGTAGTCTATCCCGTTATCGCACATATATTTTTGTCTTGAAACAATCTGTCTTAATTCCTCCAAAAGATATTATTAACATGTAGCAATAAACAGACAAAGCACAACTTCATGGATTTTTCTATAGGTTTGATTGATATTTTGTGTAAAATTATATTATCACTTGTAAATACTTAAATTTCGGTTCAAAAATCTTAATTTTATAGGAGACTTTTTAAGATTACTAGTTAGAGTTGAACGTATATTATATGTTATTCTAAAATACTTTATAAATACTATGAAAGCAATATTTGACTATCTATTTACCATTTTGATCTAAATAAGAGAGAAACGCAAGCTCTTGAAAATACATACACGTAAACAGTGAAATGCATATTTAAATCAGTATTAAAATTACAACTAAATGCATAAAATAAGATGGATGACAAATATGATCTATGAATGAACATGAATATTAATTAATTTAAAATTAATATCAAAGAATATATATATGTGACAATGAATGTTAAATTATATATATTAAATAAATATAATTTAATTTCCAATTAAGTGAAACTTGATGTTAATGAACTGTATTCTTGAATATAAAATTCAAATTAATATTAATTTAATGAATATGAATGTTAATTAATTGAGAATTAATTATAGTATTTATTACAGTTTGTAAATGAAATATATATTAAAAAACGAAAAGTATATATTATTGAAATAATTGAATTGTAGTAGGGCTATAATCGTCCAAAAAATAAAGCTCGTTTGATATGATATTTAATATATTATAGATTTATTGTCAAACCATACTAACTTTGAAAGAGGAGAATACATACGTTAAAATGGACTCCATGGGAAGACATCTCCTTATTCAATGTATCTTTAGAGTAATGTGTAGTTGATTGTAGTTAAATCTATGGCCGTTAGGAGAGGAAGAAATCCCGGGGGGCGAGAATAGGGGGCTAGCCTCGACTGATTGGTTGAAGAAAACATAATTAATCTCAATTCTAACACATATATAATAAGTTTTAATAATTAATAATTAAATTTAAAATTATATCTCAATGGTAATTAAACTATACCAAATGCTATTACTTAATAGCTGAACTTAAAAGTGTATCATTCGATTTGGGTCAATGAACTATGCACCATATTATCCATTCATCATTCAAGTCGATGTCATTTATTGAACATATTGGATCTTCCCACGTGTCAAATAGATTTCCTACGTGGGCCGTATTAGACATCCACCCAAATCCATGTAAGCGAATTATGTCTGCAAAACACGATTTAGGTTGTGATTTCCTACGTCTTATTGGAGAATAATGGGGTCTTCTTTCAGCGATAAGATGTCAAAAATCACAATCTCAATTTCATTTTGCAAAAAAGTCCTTACTTAGGTGATTTGGGTGGATATCTGATATGGTCCACATAAGAAATCTGTTTGACACGTTTCAACATCTGTTAGGTTCAACAAACAATGTCAACTTGAGTGATGAACTGATAAAAATATGCATACTCCAGTGACCATTGAGATAAATTTTAAGTTCAGTTATTAAGTAGTAGCATCTGGTATAATTCGATGACTATTGAGATATAATTTTAAGTTTATCTATTACGTAGCAGTACTTTAGTATAATTTAGTGACTATTCAAATAATTAACCCCATAGAATACAAATGCCATTTGCTGCATAAGCACAAACTAAATTTAGAATGCCAATCATGCCATATAAAATGAGGTAGGAAAATTGTTTCCAATACCCAAATACATTGGCTTATTGACTGTCTTTCATCTTGTTCAAACATGTCCAATCTAACTAACATGCCACAGATATCGTAAGATGGTATATATGATCGCGAGGAGCGTGCCCAATAAGCTAATTATTTTTTTTCATATTTAAGCGATGTAGGATTTAATCCTTAACATAGGATTAGAGGGTACTGCATAACACTTCTTAAATATTTAATAAGGATTAATTATCATTAGTTTAAATAAGGATTAATCTACTTAGAGATAGGGTACTGTCATATGGTCTTGTGTGGTTGCATTCTTCTCCTTCCTTTTGGTTTGTCTCTTTATAAATAATTTGTTTGGTTGCCATGAATTCACGTGAATGCCTAGGCCCCTTCTGCAGCCTGCAGTCATTTCCTTAAATTCAAAACAAATTTACAATATCCTCACTATCCCAATCTCAAACCTTCTTAATCTTCCTTAGGATTATATTCAAGAATGAACCTAAATTTCGTCCCTTTTCCTTTACTGCTCGATCATAGTGAAGATCAAGCTGATGAAACATCTTCGTTCTCATGTCATAATTTCTTAGATGAATCCCGTAGTCGAATATACCAACACCAGCAGCATCAAGAGGTACTTTATCGTGTGTGTTGATGCAGTTTTAGAAATTTTTTTTAAGTTTCTTGTTGGTTTGATTTGTTATATATTCTGATTATCACATGAATTATCGTATGATATCAGGATGAGGGTTGTGTTAGTTATCCCGGTGGTTCGAACGAGATAACGAAAATGGAGGAAGACGGACTCAAACTTTCTCTGGTGTGGAAGAGAGATCAAGATCATGGCGAAAGCCCATGGGAGAATAATCCAGTCCAATGGATGTCTTCGAAGACGAGGTTGATGGAGGATACAAAATATTCCGATCATGGGAGTCGGAAAATAGCTGGCAATTGTATGATGAAGCTAGAAGATCACATGAGGCAATATTCCTCTTCTTCGGAAATTGAATTAAGCAGCAACACTTCCTCATACAACAACAATATCGATAATAGCCCAATTAGGGTTTGTGCTGATTGTAACACAACTAAGACCCCTCTTTGGAGAAGTGGTCCAAAAGGCCCCAAGGTACTTATTTAAGTTTCAATTAGCCATATCCCGAAATAGTTATTGAATCAGAAGTTACTTAAGAGTACCCTTCTTTGGATTAATTCATTCTTTTACATTTTCTTTGTTTATAGTCACTATGCAATGCCTGTGGAATTAGGCAAAGAAAGGCGAGACAAGCCATGGCTATAGCTGTGGCTGCCACAGACGGAACACCTCTTAGGACTGAAACACCAGCAACGAAAATCAAAGTGCATCAAAAAGAAAAGAGAGGCAAAAAAGGCAATACTTTAAAGCACAAGAAACTATTCAAAACGGCCGCTGGAGCATCAAATGGAGAGAAGAAGCAGCTTGATTTTGAAGAGTTTTTAATAAATTTGCATAAGGATTTGGCCTTTCACAGGGTGTTTCCACAGGATGAGAAGGAAGCTGCCATCCTTCTTATGGCCATATCTTCTGGTCTTGTTCATAGTTAATTTCTTCGCAATCAAACAATAATAAACTAATCCTCGCTCTAATTAAAATCGGAGTCGAGGCATGCATTTTCAGCAATATAAAGCACCTAGGTGATATGTAACGGTTAATTTTCGATACAAATTGTTGTTATTTCTAGATTTAGCTACTGAGTAAGATTTTGTGATCAGTCGACTGAGAGTGAATGAAAGTAATTTGTCATAATTTGATAAGATTACCATAAGAAATTTGTGTGATCTTTTATTCTTTTGATTAATTTGGAAAAGTTCATAGGGTTACGTGCATGGATCTATTGTTCATTTGTTATGTATTAAACCATTTAATTTCCAGGTTTTAGCTACATTGATTCTTGTTTGATTCATTTGATATAAGTTTTGGATGCCTTGGCTCGATTCAGTTTTACACCTCTACCCATGTTCAGAGCTCGAAATCTCTGATGATGGTGCTGACATTAAAGGGAAAAGAAAGCCGAAAAAAGCTTGATTTCAATGAATTAAAAAAACAGTTTTACTGGTATGAAAAGTCGTTTATTCTTAAAAAATAAGTACTTCTCTTATACAAGTTTGTACCCTTCTGTTTCATATTTGTTGACCCCAAAAATGTAATGCTGATGTGGCCAACAGATCCCAACACATCTCACATGCATCCACGCAAGCTTTATTCCTGCATAATAGGACAAATCGTTAGTCACACGTGGCCTTCTTCCAAGGGGTTGGAGTTGACCGGACGCACTCCAATGATCAAGTCAATTAGAGAAGAAATAATATGAGTGTGGGAGAGTTTTAAATGTGAGCCTCCTAATATAAAAAAAAGGAGTCCACTTTGGGGAGAAATGAGTAAAAGATGGGATAGCAAGATTATAGCTTTTTGAGTCTAAATTTGCATTACTTTTGAATGACACTAAATGCGAACTTTTATATTTGGATGAGACGAACGAAAGCCGTTGGATGACTGTAATGCCCCAAATTCTAGGAACTTGAAGCGTTTAAAAATCTTCTTAAATTTAGCTCTTTACTTCAATCAAAATATATTTCGAATACGGGAAAATTGAAGTTTGATATATATTATAAAATATGATGGGAGATAATTTCCTATATAGACTTAAACAATTATGGTAAAATTTGATTTTTGTAAAACATTCGGAAGAAACTCAGCAGTAACCATAGCGTAGCAGCGGAAAGATAAAAAATTGTTTGACCTAGCAAACGTAGCCGAAAACTTATGAAATTTTAATAGAGAATTGTCATTCATGTAGGAACCACATATAAGAATTTTGGGTCTCGATGATAACATTTAAAGCACGAAAATATTTTCCAACGGAGTTGGACAGAAAACTCGAAGCTGTTCCGACGCAGCTTACTAAAACGGGCATAACTTCTTATCTAGATAATATTTTGAGGAAATTCCAAAGGCCACTGTTAGATGACTCGTAGATCTTTCATACCAAACTGATTTCCCTCA